GAAGTGTGAAAGCTGAGGTTGTTCACTGACTTACGAACACCAGTGGCTGGAGTGGTTGAGGAAGTGCTGAGTTAAATATTTCCAACTGCATTTTTTTTTTAAACGCTCTTGAAAGTTCACAATGAATGAAAACCTACACAAAACCTTCAACATGTCAACTCGTCAAAAGTTGATCATGGTGTCAAAACTCATATAAATGTCTACTCATTGTTACTACAATCAAGGGCATGTTGTATTTACTGCGGGAAGAACATATAACTCAAAACGGAACCGGTCGGACACTCTTGCGATTACATATGTAGAATTGTATCACACGATCTAATTTCGTTTTTGATTATGATTTGTCGGGCTTAAAGATACATATATATATAGATAAGGATAATTTATACACGAGCCGTGGCTGAAAAAGTCTGAGCCTCACTACGGCGGATGTATAGTACATCCTTAACTGTTTGCATGTATTAAGTACACTACTGTCCATGTTTACAGGCTTAATTTGAACCAAATACACAACCAGGCAGCACACTTCTGCAGGCATCAAAGTAGTGGTCTTTTTTATTGTTTTGGCTCAACCCCGCCCATGTTAAGTCAATGGGAAAATCGATTTAAAATGTTCTCCTCAAGTCCTCTTTCCATGATCATAGGGGGGAATTCCCCTTTACAGTTAAATATAGGTCACTATATACACGACTGAACCGTCCGCCATTTTGAATGACAGATCGATTGAAAATACATTTTCATCAACAAACGACAAGAGTATATGACGTCTATGTACATATTTATTATCCCCAGTACATTTAGGTTAGATTGAGTTGGGGAGCTATCCCACACTAGTTAACCTTTACAAAATATGAATATCCAAAAACTAAAGCTGTACATATCCCGATTCATTTATGTCTCAATATTCACACTATCTCGGTGCATTTTTCGCGTGTCAACAAAGCGTCTAACTGTAATACTAAATGTCAGGTCAACAGGCTCGTTTCAGTGCGACCGAGGTGTTTGTTAAGATTAGGTCACCCTAACGACTGGCTGGCTTCTAGCTGGCTCACTCTCTCGCTTTGCAATGAATGCAACCAAGGCATGTGAGATATACATACTGCACAGCGGCCATGTTGGATATTTATGTGTGTTTAGTATACGTTGTCAAATATGATATTTTTCTGTCCTTGAGAGAATTAACATAAAATCATTGACGTTTATGCTTTCTATATATTATTATCTGACTCTAGTGAAAGCAGTAAGGTAAAAGTCGCAACAAATACATGTGAAATATGTAATTCTCTGTTGACTGTTTAAATTTGAACATTATATCACATATATAAAATCAGTCGGATTACTGTTTTTTTCAGTTTTTCATACAGATGTATTGAAATAAGTTACATCTTTATCTCAACTATTGAAATACATTAGAGTTTGGGATAATAATCCATCACAAAAACACATTGCATATATGAAGTCGGCTATGAAAGCACAGACAATGTATATATGAGGGCTAGTTTTGATAATACCCAGCGGGCAAGAGGTTGTCTTCTCTGACGTCCGCACAAGCACAATAAAACGAAGAGAGGCTTCTACTACTGAAACTCCTCAATGCAATCCGGGATACCGCACAAGTACCTACGACATGGATACAAGCACTTGTAATCCCAATCAAAAAACCAAACAAACCCCCACAGAACCCAGAATCATACAGACCCATATCACTCACATCAAAAATGTGAAAAACCTTGGAACAATAATAAAAAAAAAGACTTCCACACTAATTTCTTACATGCACCCCAGAGCGGGTTCACGCCAAACAGAACCACCCTAGATCACATCATTCGAATTGAACACGACATCAGTGTAGCCCAGGCTAACAAACACTATCTTCTAGCTATATTTATCGACTTCTCAAAAGCCTTTGACATGATCTGGAATGACGGTCTAATCACTAAATTGTCAAACAAAAATATTAAAGGACGCATGTTAAACTTCATACACAACTTTCTCAAAAATAGCACCATAACTGTAAAAGTAAACAACACACTTTCTGACCCACATCCCATCCAAAACGGTACACCTCAAGGCAGTGTCCTTTCTCCAACACTTGTCAATCTTATGATCGATGACATATTCACAGACATCCGCTCAACAATCAAACCAGCTAAATTTGCAGACAACGCATCACTTTGGACTTCACACAAAACACTAGATACAGCGCAGGAATACATCCAACAAGCACTCAATGATATTGACACATGGGCAAATACATGGGGTTCTAAAATCAATACTGACAAAAATGTAGCCATACTCTTCAAAACACCTAACATGCAAAACTATAATACGCCAAGACATTATGTTAAACTAACATTACTTGTAATTGATATGTTATGAATTCTATAATGGGAAGGTTTTGAAATAAGTAGGTCATATGCGATTTTAGTCTTACATTTTACAATAATTGAAATTCAGTATTTATAGTGTAAATGTTATTAATTATAGGCACCGTCCTAGACATCGACTGTTGGCTTTGTGCCCGATTGAATGAGATGTTATGGAGGTGTCAACTCTCATTTGGAGATCAGTCTAGGGTCACCTCGAGACATGTTAGTCACGGTGTGGTAATGCTACGTTCATAGATGGAGAATCCGACCCGTAATATTCGCTACACATCTATGGATATTAACAACCAAAGTCGGCAATTGGTTGTCTAAGGGCGTTATCACGTATCCATGATTAGCATGTCAGTGTTCTAATAGATCATGAATAATTCATTGTTTTGATTACTACCCCTGTTATAGAGTTACCTTCGGATATAGTGAGGTAGCATTCCATTCTCAGATGGACCCACAATATTCGCAATGCATTTGTTACTAGAGACATAAAAGTTGGCCCTCGGATTTCTAAGGGTGCTACTATCTCATAATCATGACATGTCAGTGAATCAGCTATTATAGACATATACACAAACACGTCAATATTCAGTTCGAGAATCCATATATTTTCAGACCTTATGTATTGTATAATTATGTAATAAATGTTAGTTTATGTTATTTCTATATACCCATAATTCCATGAAGATACTGAGCCATGAAAAGGTGTTTCTCGTTGAACAGAGCACAGACAATCACCAATTGAATAAACCATTGAGTACGAAGAGGTAGAACAGTGAGACCCTATACAAATAACTTATGCATAGTTAATAATGGTATTAAAAAAAACTAATATAGATTAATATAACAAAATAAATGTAATATCATAATGATAATTTATAATGGTTAATTAATTAGTTATAGAACAGTTTTTCAGTTACCCCCAACAAACGCTCATAAAAACACAAAAGTCTTAATGAGAAGACATGGTATATACAACTGCAATATTATTTCCCCATACTACATAGCATAAATGCAATGTGCATATGTTCAATATGCTAACAGAGTAAATGATTTAATCTTTATATCTAAAATTATTTAGGATCAGATATCATGGCACCAGTCAAGAAAGCATACACCTGTAATGACTGTTGGAAATCTACACCTCAACATTTAACCTAGACAGACACAGAGCTGCTTTTTACCATAATACCCGGTATTCCTGCCCAAACTGTAGCCTGAAACTCAACAGGAGAGATAATTTACAACGGCATATCAACATAGCACATTCATCCCAAACAAGTAGGGGGTGGTGTTACTAATAACCAAGATAACTCACAAACCCTACAGAGAACAACTTATCCTTGTAGCCAAGAAGCCATCAAGGGGACTATGAAGGCCCATACCATCTCTGGGGAGGGCATAGAAAGGTTTGACCCTTTGCGGTTTTTAAGAAGTCATTATGAAGAGTTGGTTGGTTGGTTTGTTGTTTAACGCCGCACTTAGCAATATTGCAGCTATATGACGGCGGTCTGTAAATAATCGTGTCTGGCCCAGACAATCATGTGATTAATATCATGAACATCGATCAACGCAATTGGGATCGATGACATGCATCAACCAAGTCAGCGAGCCTGACCACCCGATCCCGTTAGTCGCCTTTTACGACAAGCATGGTCCCCTTTTACGACAAGCATAGTCACCTTTTACGGCAAGCATGGGCTGCTGAAGATGTATTCTACCCCAGAATCTTCACGGGTCTCATTATGAAGAGATCAAGTCTTATCTGAAGGAAGCTATCAAGGAGAAGGGGGCTGTACTACCTAGCCATTAAGGTGAAAATGACCCGTCGACGTTGTAAAAGTTGTATCAAAGCAGACAGAATGCAGTATTCTCTGTATATTTCACACACCATTGATACTGATGTCAAAGAGTTCTCATTAGAATATGATGAAAATGCATGCCGATCAAAGACAATGAAACAGGTAACACCTAATTTTCACTGGGACTACCGTTAGAACTGGAACTCACAATGTGCTTGGTGATATCGCGCAGTTGTAACAAGTTCATGTGTCAAGCAACACGACAGTTGCCCATACACAATTTAGCAGCAGTTGCCCATACACAATTTAGCAGCAGTTAACACACGTCATGGTTTCTTTTGTTTGTTTGTTTGTTTGTGGTTTAACGCTGCACTCGGCAATATTCCAGCTATGTGACGGCGGTCTGTAGAATAATCGAGTGTGGACCAGACAATCAAGTGATTGACATCATGAGCATCGATCCGCGCAAATGGGAACGATGACATGCATCAACCTAATCAGCGAGCCTGACCACCCGATCCCTTTAGTCGCCTTTTACGACAAGCATAGTCGCGTTTTAACGGCAAGCATGGGTTGCTGAAGACCTATTCTACCCCGGATCTACACTGGTCCATGGTGTGTAAATATGGCTGGCCCGTGCTCGTTGTAAAACGAATGTTGGAAGGTGCTGTTGTCACGAAGTACGAATTTACAGTTTATGAACACAAGTATATGTACTATGTTAGGAATCCAGCTAGTGTATTGGCACATATATCAAAGATGTGGCCCTGAAATTTGAACAGTTCTGTGTATGGGGTTCGAGATGAGACAACACGCCTACCTTTACAGGTAACTTGCTTCACTGTCCCCATCAAGATCACATGCGGTTGATAAAGCATACATGCTATCTTGTTTCCCTATTACACGGTTATCATGATTGATTATTACTGTGTTGGAAGGATAAGATATATGGATGAACAACTTCTTTATTACAATTAGGAGCGACGTTTCGGTGTAGGTTCTAACACCCTTATCAAGCAAGTGATAACGGTGTTAGACATCGTTATCAAGCAAGTGGACCAACACCGAAACGTCGCTCCTAATTGTAATAAAGAAGTTGTTCATTCATATATCTTATCCTTACTTAGTACTCCAACTTCTAAATGCCTCTCAAAGAAGTTATGAGAGATGATGAACTGTGATAAAGAATTGAATTTGTGATGTTTCCTGTTTGCTTTTTTCTGAGAAATTGGCTTGAACATGTGACCACCCCTTTCGTAAAATGAACCATCATTATTGGAGTACCTCGAAACCAGTCATCGGTTTCTCGGCATCCCATATCATGCATCTTGTCAAAGGTAAGCACGACGAGACGACAGTTTTGTTGCGTCATGCGCCCAGTAAATTAGTTCCTCCTTAATATCGAATTTAATTAACATTCATGTTACAACGTCGATCTCCTAATCATATCATTTAATGTATCAACATGTTCCTGAGTGGTAAAATGAAGGAGCATAATCCCCCAAAGTTGACACCATGCCCGAAAGTGTGGCTTTTGGAGTTTGTCATTTCAGCTGGAGATATTTGATGACAGCACGCTAGTAAATTTTGTCCATTTAAATCAACAGGGAATACCTGGTCACAAGAGTATGCTGCCAGGTGGTGTATTTGTTTCAAATGCAGCCTGTAAGCATGGGAAATAATATGCTAGGTCTTAATACATGCAAACTGGTATTACAATACCTCCATCGTAGTTTAAGTAAGAACCCATCTATATTTTTGAGACACTGATATATTTTCCAATCTCCAAATTTCGCCACCATTCAAATGAGGGTTGACTGATAAGTGCTGAGCCTCACATAGTAGGAATTGCGTAAAAGTGAAAGCTTTTGTTGAGGACATTACAAGATGCCAAGAAGTATATCCACACAAAAATTAGTAAACTGAGCAAATTGTTTCGCTCTGATAAATCTGTAAAATAAGCAGGCGAATGTCACCTTTGGAAAATGGACAAACTTGCGGAACACTGCTAAGTTTCCTAAGGATCAAGTTTTGATGATATTAGAACAACAAATAAAGATTGAAATATCCAGTAAACACTGATACGGTAACCCCTATAGGAGTTCAACTGTTTCATGAATGGACAGAGGCATGCGGCTGGTGCAATGGGACTCCACTTTATCGTGCCAGGGTCGTTGATGCCTACATAGAGCAGGAGACCATTGTCTCCATGGAGTGGCCAGCACAGTCACCAGATCTCAAGGTCACATGTAGAAGAAGCTTCAGATTGCCCTCTCACGACGCCCGGTCCTTCCGGCAACTCTACACTCGGTAATGCTATTCCTGAAGAGTGGAACAATCTTCACTCGGCCATCCAGACATGTATTCGGAGCATGAGACGATGATGCCAGTCCGAAAGAGGATTGTAAACGCATTTATATGCTGGATTTGACTGACTTGAATGCAATTTAGTGATGTATTGCGGTACTAGTTTAATGTGGCATTGTTCAATTGAAGGTTCATCAGCCGCCACTGTGGAACTGTCCTAAGAGCTCCAATGCCTAATTAAGTTGCTTTTGCATGCTCCACCATAGACAATGGAACCATAAACTAGCTAAGAGCGTATTAACGACCCCTACAAGTGAAGGAGAGTTGTTTAATCCCCTCCCAACTCGGAATTTGAAACAACTTTTAAAAAGTCAAGAGCCTTCAGGCACTTTGCCTTTAGATTTTTTATGTGTGGTAAGAATGTTAGATGACGGTCAAACATGAGGCCAAGGAATTTGGCCTCCTCTACTACCTTGATAGGAGTACCATTAAAACCTAAACCTGGATCCTTGTGCAGTTCATATTTACGCCCAAAGTGAATACAGTTTGTTTTGGATTAGAAAACTTAAAGCCAATTTTGTTGGCCCATTTTTTAATTAGGTTAAGACATAGTTGAAGATGTTTTTCTATTGTATGTATATTCTTACCACAAGAAATTTTGAAATCATTCACAAAAAGTGAACCATCAACACAAGGTGTTCAAAACTTTAGTAAAACTATTAAGTTTTAAGCTAAATAGTGTGACAGATAGGATGCTACCTTGAGGGACGCCCTGATCTTGATCGAAATCATCAGACAGGGTAGAGTCCACTCGTACTTGAAATTGTCTGTTGTATTAAAACTGAGATATGAAGTGACGTAATCTGCTCCTCCATCCAATTTCATGCAAATCTTTTAAAATACCATGTTTCCACTTGTATCATATCCTTATCTTGGTCGAAAAGATTGATACAGTATGTTGTTTGTTGACAATGGAGTTTTAATAAATGACTATAACGCACCAAACGGTCAATGGTACTTCTCTTTTTTCGGAAGTCATACTGGTTGTTTCTCAAAAGGTTACTGGTCCCCAAAGTACCAGACCAATTGATTGTAGGCTGATGAAAGAACATTGGGCGTTCTGCCCCAGGCTCGCACCCATTGACCCCAAGCACGGAGGTATCTGACTGACGTCACGCTAAAAAAAAACTTACCAGCGTAGTACATTACAGGTTGTGTTGCAATCTGGGAAAACCCTGGCTTAAGATAGACCAACGGCTATACATTCAAATGAGGAAAGGTGTACATATGTATTAAGGTTGATGTAGTATATGTGAACAATTTATGTTGTATGTTTTAAAACTTTCTTTCTTGGGAAATGTATTTACCTACGGGCGTCAGACAGTGAGGGAGTCATTAGTTCACCTTTAGCGAGGTGGACACACGCTATGTAAGCTGTTTTTCAAAAAAAATATTCATATTTATGTTATGAAGACGCCTTGTCATAAAACTACTAGCATATCTAAAGTAAATGTGATAGTTTACATACAAACTGCTACGTAGTTGAAATATTGTAATAAAGTGTATCTATAGTGTTTTCATGCTGAGAGAAACTGTTTTGTTGATATGGTGACTCATCAGAGTGGTATGCGGGACGCTGCCCTTACATCTGTTCACCGTCTGTAGTGACCTATAGAAGAGCTGTGTAGTGATCCGTTGAAGAGTGTTTAAACAAGCTCAGACATGTCAGGGGTCTTTCAGTCGCGTCCATGATGTAGGGGGGATTCATTCATAAAACACGCCAGTGGTTCAGTCTAAGGATGTATAGTGGCCACACCTATCACCCCTCGCATGTATGCAATGGAAAATGTCATATGTGTGCATGGAAACGTTTATCATCTGCACACAATGAACTCATCCTTTTCTAACCTTTATAAACGGAAGAGCGGCATTTAAATTTCATATTGTTGTCTGCCAGCAACCGAGACGGACGTTTGCCAGTACGCTATCATCTTTAGCCTTGACTCACGTACAGTTCGCGGTTTGTGTTTACAAAGGTAATTGAATGCAATTCAAGCACATACACCTTGCTTTCAAAGATATATCTTAGACGCTGTCATATTGTTAAATAATGAAGATGAAGTATTTTTTGGTTGAGATAACAAAATATAATGCTATCCTTATGATACATTACTGGTATAATTTGCAACCGAGACCACAACATCGAACTTACTATGCATTTATCAAGTAGAAAGTCTGTTGTTAATTTTAAGAACTTCTACAGGTAATTACAGAGTTTGATTTTACGCCGCTTTTAGCAATATTCCAGCAATATCACGGCGGGGGACACCAGAAATGGGCTTCACACATTGTATCCATGTCGGGATTCCAGGAAGCTGGAGTACACAGGTTTATCCAGTTATTGGTGAGTACTAACTTCTAAAGAGGAATTATTGTGAGTGATGTAAGTTCGTTCAAGTGTGTGCCTTGTAAATGTATTCAGTTCACACATTATTGATGTAGATGATGGTATGGCGGTATCCAGCTAGGCGTGTGGTTGGAGCCTCTGTAAGGGTACAGTATGTCCCAACCCCTGTTCTGGAACAGGTAGCCGAGGAGCAGGCAATTGCTGTCATTGTATGTATTGCTGTATTGGGTGGCTGCGTGTACATAGGTATGTGCGTGTTTAGGCACGCGTGCAGTTTATTTTCGTTTGTTTGTTTATGGGTTTGAAGTCGGCGTGTGCGTGTTCGTGTGCGCTAGGGAATGCGATGGTTTGTGGTATTTAATATGTGGTGTTGATTTGTTCGTTGGTTTCTATTTCAGAAACGCCCATTTCCAGTGTAGCCGGTAGTTACGTTCAGAGCTTACTTCGATGTGAGCTGCTTGTGTTGGGGACTGAATCCCGGTGTTTTGGAAATATTGCTCCTGTTCGGAATGAACATTGTTTTGTGTGTATTTACGTCCGTGTGACGTGCGATGAGGCCAGAATGCCTGATTGTATTGATTTATGTTCATATGTGTACTCTAACATTTAAAGAATATCTGTTAAGTTCTATGTGTGCCCGAAAATAAGTCCGTGCTAATTCAGACTGCCACAAGTTTAATGTTTGCCTGAGCGTTAGTTCAGTGCTCTTCACTTGTGATTCAGAGATGGTTTACTGTAAGAATGTTGTGATTGTTGTTGAATTGGGCAACCCGTTTGTCGTGGGTTGCCCCCTGTCTGAGGAGGATGCGAGGCGGGTGGTTGAGGGGACTGGACCCAGGAACTTTGGTTCCTTTTACCCAACACACCACTTTGATCCTCACTTCACCTACACAGGTGGTAGCATGGGCCCGTTCTGTTAATAGGCTGGTCACGCCATCCGCTGTGCATGGAAAAAGTGAATTTAGATATCTCATCAAAATAATTTTATCACGAAAGATAAGTCTTATCTGCTTATAAGAGTTCTAAAACGCTGAAACCTAGTTCATATTGACCCTTATTTATAGCAGGAAATGTGTCTTTCTAAAATAAATTATTCCCACAAATCTGAGTTACTTTTGACATGCAATCAAGAAGAAAATGAGGTACATATGGCACATTAACTTGATGTAAACTTTCAGTACTTTCTGTGAAAAACCTGAAGATATGATCATTAAAGTAAAACTGATTTATTTATTTTTTAAATCGAATATGTCCTCAACTATAAGATATACAAAACCGAGTATTAACGTATGTATGGAGACTAATCTCATCATTTTTACAAGCATTTTATGCAGTGGATTCTGGGGTGTGTGCTTTCGAAGACGTGTACCTTACAGTGTGAAACGTTGAATCCAATATGGCTGCCAAACCACGTGGTATCACTTTGATACCAATGGTTCATGGTCATGGTTTGCACCATAAGCAGCGTCTTTTCCTTCATTGCTCCCATCTCAATGTATTCTAAGTGTGGACCTGATAAAACAGGTCTATGATATACTGATATGTATTGTCTGGCTACGTTCATGTGGTAAAATGGAGCATAGTAAAGTAAATACAGGCAGCATTACAGGCGTTTTCCAGGTACAGCTTGAGTCAGTTGGGACAGATTTGTATTATTCAACATTTAATGAGTGTTGCAGCTGTGTATTTAATCTTTAATTAAAGTGTGTACATCTGAATATGAATGTCCTTCATTGCTTGAACATCACTATAAATTAGCGTCGCATCATGTCCGTATCAGTGCTGATGAAACAGACTATACTCGGCTTTTGATTGACCTTGTTGTGACAAAGCCGTTATGACAATGTGGTATGCAATAGCGGGACGGGACCGTTAAAGACGTTAATTACAGTTACATTTTAGTACAGACAAACAATGCTTAATCGAAAGTGGTGGAATTTTTTTTTAACCCGACACTTTCTTTGTGGATTAAGGTTAGGAGTCACTCCAAACGAAGTACTAGAAACTGTAGTTCAGTTAGAAATGTAACCTGCTGGTAGTCTAGATCACGTACTGTTACCCTCTTTTAAGTGTAAATTGGCACGTGGCCGAAAGTTATAAAAACATAATGCCTTTTACAAAGTGAATAAATGTAACAAATGTTACATTTGGGATAACACTTTCTAAGTGAACCAATTTTTACTTATCAATGGGTACATAAAGTGATCTAGACTACCGGTTGTCTGACTTCCATCTTGTGGAAGCCTTGGTGACTGAGTGGGCAACTAAGGGCCTCTTCAGGCTTTTCTATTGTATCATAACTTAAGTTTTATTCAGAGTAGCATAAAGCCAATTTCACTTGGTCATTGAGACTATCAGACGTGAGTAAGGTATGTTAAATCCGAGAAAAGAAAATTTGAACAGTGTAATTGTCATGATTTATTTAATTTGTACATATTTACGCTTCTAATTTCTGGTGTCCCCGCCGTGATATTGCTCGACTGTTGCTAAAAACGGCGTTAAAAACCTCGCTCGCTCATCTTCTGGTACTGGTGAACTGAAATAAAGATTGATTCATCATGTTGTCATACGTTGTGTAAAAACATCTGCTTTTCTTTCATAGGTCATGAAAAGTAGGAAGGTAATATCAGTTCATTTGGACGAAGCTTAATGTGTGTAACAGTTGTTGGTGCTATTATATTACACTTGTTTTTATACCAATTTAGATATTTAAGTCATCTTTCTGCTCACTGGCATTATATTTCAATTAAGTAACTTTAATTATTGTAAATCATACTTACATCAGAACATCACCTCTTACAAAGGTGATAAAGGCCGCTCGGCACTTCCTTGTCCGGAAACAGATTCAATTGTTTCACGGTCACACTGAAAGAGCTGATCATTCGCCATGACCATTGGATTGTCGCTGTAATGAAATGAACATATTTAACATTGATACACATTTTAAGTCATCTTTAAACATCTGAGTTTGATTCTTACAGGAATAGAATTTGTATGAGATGATCTTCATCGTCCGTTTACTAAATATCCCTCGATATAGTCACAAATTAATTATATATGTATCAAGTGGTGACGCGCTTAAAACGAACTGACCGATATAACGAACTTATTTTTTAGCCCCGACCAGTTGTATATATGCTTATAACGAACTACAATTACTGGTCCCCTCGAGTTCGTTATAACCGTAGTTTATCAATGGCGATCAATGTCATTTTTATAAGTCTAGTGATGGGTCATTGCTGAGCCAAGTTGCTATTGTTTGGATTATATTAGCTGCAAGTAATGAAATGTGGTTATTTTGGAGTAATTTTGCAGGGTGTGTGGATGTTATTCTCACACTTTCTGATATATACTCAACAATATAAGTTCCTGTGACACCAATATTTTAGTGTATTTTTCAAACAAGTAAAGGTTGGTGTTCAATATTGTAGTACATGTATGGAATCAAGTCACAAAAAACGCAACTGCTACAGAAAAGCATGCATTCCATGCAAATGTTGACTTTTATGCAAGCCCCATGCATTTCACTACCCAAGAATGGGTATTAAAAACATGTGCGTTAACGGGATTCTGTATGCATTGTTTAGCATCGTGCTGACAACTCAGAAAAACAACAAAATTATGTAATTATTCAACATTACGAAATGCCACGCCTGTCCGAAAATGAGCGTCTGCGAGCCATTGGTAAGCTTGAAGCAGGATCGAGTCAACGTGATGTTGAAAGACAATTTAACGTCCACAGAAACACCATTTGGTGTTTATGGCAACAGACGAATGTAGTCAGAAACCATTCTCGGAGTGGCAGGCCACGCGTAACCAATAATCGACAAGACAACTGGATTCGAACACACCTACGAAATCGATTCCAACCAGCAACAGTGACTGCAAGAAGCACCCCTGACCTTCGACGAATATCTTCACAAACCGTACGTTGTCGCCACCTCAGATGTGCAGGGATTGTCGCCAGAAGATCCGCCAGACGTTCCATTTTGACAGGAAACAACCGTCAAGCATGTCTACAGTGGTGCAGACAGCGTCTACGCTGGACGGCCATGCAGTGGGGACAAGTTCTATTCACTGACGAGTCTCTTTTACACCTCGGCCGCAGCGATGGACGGATTCGAGTGTACCGACGTCGAGGTGAACGTTACGTCAATCATTGTGTCATGGAAGAAGATCGGTTCGGGGGCGGCAGCGTTATGGTATGGGGTGGGATTACAGCAAGACAGAGGACCCATGTGATAGTGGTAGAGGGAAAGCTCAATGGACAGCGCAACCGCGACGAGATCATCGGCCCTGTTGTTCTTCCTTTTTTGCGTCATCATGGCCCAGGCATTACCTTTCAACATGACAACGCCCGGCCTCATATTGTTCGACTTGTTCAGGATTCTCTTCAACAAAACAACGTGAATGCCATCCCCTGACCGGCTCGCTCCCCTGATCTCTCACCAATCGAGCACATGTGGGATGAGATGGATCGGCGCCTTCGACGTCAACCACGTGTTCCACAGACACTCCAGGAACTTCGAAACATGCTCCAGCAGATATGGACAGATATCCCACAGATATCCCAGAGGACATTGTACGACGCCTGGTCCATTCCATGAGACGAAGATGTGTTGCTTGCATCGCAACCAAAGGTGGACACACACGCTTTTGATTTGTAAATTGACATTTTAGCATGTTCTTGTGGGGTTTTTTTATGAAATCACGCATTTTCTGAAGTCAGTATGGCAAAATAAACCATTTGAACTCTTACAGGAGTCTTGTTGCAAACCGAAATTGTTTCAGATTTGGTAAAAAACAACTTTGCATTAAATCTTATTCAATGTCACAGGAACTTTTGTTGTTCAGTATACTTTCTTCATTGCCAAATTTTCTATGATAATAGAATGAACTCTCGCATGAGAAATACCTACTGAACACGCAATATGACGCTCAGTCTTAAATCCCGTAATTCTCTGGGTAAGTTGTTCCACAACCTACAATGAACATGGTATGATCATATTATCAAGAAATCATGTTTTTAATTTCAACATGTTATATGTGTATGCAATAGGCGAGTTATATTTGAAACATTGTTTGGAAAAAATAGATTTACATGATTTTTTTACAATGTGTCATGAGGTTGATCACTGTCTTAAAAGCAACCAATTGATGAATATTAAAAATCACTACCATTTGTTTTTGGTGTGAAATTTAAATCCAGCTTTTGCTGAAATTCCTTCAGTGTCACACATTGCACATTCACAACTTCAGTTAACGGCAACTCCGTTTTTCCATGTTCTCCCCAGAGCTTCAGTTGGATGGTTTCTGTGTCCGAGTTACTGTCTTTAATTCAACACTACTGTGTTCTGAGACCTGGCAAGGAATCGAAGATTAGCTTAAATGGTATGAATATTGATGAAAACATGTAATGATTGTACAGTTTTTTTAATTTATTTCTAGTTATTTGGCATGTGTGTGGAAGAAGATGGGGTATATTTGTATCTAAGACTTGAAGTCATGTTATTAAATAAGGGAAACGTACATGTTCATTATTTTTAAATCATACTAACCTCAACTACTCTTCCTTGAACTGACTTCAATTCAGCTATGGTCGTAACTGGAGGATATTGGAATGCTTGCAGCATCTCGTAATTAAAAGTACCACATGTCAAAATCTACAATAAAAACAAATAAATTGGGAATATATACATGGGAATGACAAAACGAACTAAAAAGCTTTAATACACACGATGTTTTGCTGTCAAAGAATGGTATAAATTTGAGAAATGTCTAAAATGAGAAAACGTGTGTTCTCTTTTCACCTTAAAACAATAATCATGAAAGGCCATATGCAACAATTAAGTGTTTGTTTTTTAAATCATTCATATAGAACTCTAATAAAAAGAAAGTTGATTCAGGGTATCTGTTTTTGGATGTGTGTATTTTGTATGTACACATATTGGCCAATACATATTAAAAAGCAGTATTGAAGACCATGTTTAGTAACATATAAAACTATATTTAGTTATTGTGACTCCTTATCAATAGTTTAAGGGGTTTTATTGTGTTGTATGCTTATTATAGTGATATATATATATATAATTTCGACAGTTTGAAGTATGTCTTTGAAAGAACTTTAAGGATACATATGATTTTCTTCTATTTGTATACACATAAAAAAAGTTAAGCACCCCCTAATATTATGTATGATAATACACTACCATAATGCTTAATGTTGATGGCAATACTAATGATATTAATGCTGTTTTGTCCGAAGAATGTGACCGTTCATGCGTGATGGTGACGTCCCTATTTCCCGTGTTTTGCACGTGCACCATGCCTCCCTAACACTCAGCAAAAGACAGTAGGTTCACGCAGCAAATACTGGTACTGAAAACAGTGTAAACTGATTTGTGTAGTCGTCCAGTCTGAAAATGGCAAGGAGATTATGTGTAACGCTAAGATGAAGAATCGTTGGTATGCATGCCGCAGGGTTACCTTTCAAGGCGATTGGACGTCAACTGGGTTACATTACTCAGTAAACGGCCGACTAGTGCGAAAACACGCCCAATTCAGTGAGTATGGTTTTACACCGCTTTTAGCAATATTCCAGCAATATCACGGCGGGGGACACCAGAAATGGGCTTCACACATTGTACTCATGTCGGGAGTCGAACCCGGGTCTTCGGCGTGACGAGCGAACGCTTTAACCACTGGGCTACCCGACCGCCCCTGCTCAATTCAGTAAAGGACATGCCACGTACAGGACGCCTACCTGAGGCGTAATTAGTTACCCCATAGACGTCTGTCTGGCCAAACATTGCGGAATCGTTTAAGAGCTGCTGGAATGAGGGACCGAAGAGTCGTCAAACGCCAACTACTGGTACAGCGTCATCGGAGACTACGATTGCAAGAGTGTTTGGCACACCGAGGGTGGAACCTCAGAACATGCAGACGTATCCATTGGTCAGATGAAAGCAGGTTTCAGCTGCATGTGAATGATGGCAGAACGAGAGTGTGGAGGCACCAAGGTACAGCATACACCCCAAGAACATTAAACCAACTGGTCCATTTGGTGGTGGCTCCGTGATGACATGGGGTGCATATCCCACGATTGCAAGCTTGACCTTGTGACTATACGGGGCAATCTCATTGGTGAATGTTACATCCGGGAAGTTCTGGAACCAGTTGTTCCCCATTTTGACAGCCACCCTCTGGCATCAAGACCTGTTCATGGACGATAACGCTAGACCCCACCGTTCAAGAGCTGTGACTGCATGTTTGGCAAACAACGCCATTGCAACTCTACCTTGGCCTGCAGTGAGTCCTGATCTTAACCCAATGGAGCACATTTGGGACATTCTTGGGCGTAGAATCCGGGCAATGGACCCTCCTCCACACAATCTGGATGACTTGGCAGCAGCTTTGCATCGTGAATGGGCGCCATTTCTCCTTGAAATGATCCGACGTCTGACTGGAGGGATGACGAGAAGGGTGGAGGCTGTCATCCAGGCATGCGGTGGCCCTACCTGTTATTAAACTTTTGACACGCGAATGTCATTAATGGACGTTAATACACGTTTATTCATTAACGTTCTAGATTAGCAGTGCTATACTTAGAGGATGTTATGTTGTGGAAAAAAAACAGTACCGGTGTTTGGGCATGCATATCTCAATTAAATTTTCATTCTGGCTCAAAATTGTTTTTGTTTGTTCACAGATGATTGCTCTTTACAAACATAATGCTTTCTCCAACTTCACTGTCCATTGTATCATGTTCGTGATTCTTATTTTCTAAACAGAATTTCTGGGGGTGCTTAACTTTTTGTGTGTATATGTAATGTACTTACTTTCGTCCTTTGGGAGAACGTGTATACTCCATCTTGCACTTTGTACAAGTCGGTTCCCATTTTAAAGCCGTTGGTGTTATCTTGAAAGTTGTCCTGCATTCTTATTGTGGTTATTTAAAGTGGGCTTCTCTTCAGAACGACATTGGCTTCCTTGTAATAGCCAGACTTCCCCTTTCTTCTGGACATCTCCCCAAAATGGTAAAGACGTAAGTTCTCACCAACTGTGGGCTGTAACAATAACAAAATTTCATCTTCGTTATTAAAGTGCATAAAATATTTAGTTTGCTGCTGTTATATAAAGGGAAATAACACTCCAAGTTTGAAATATGGATGGGTGTTTTCTTCGCGAGTTCACAATTTGCTTATGGATTATTATTTTGACCCTTTGACTTGTTGGGCTGCGTGAAGCGACACCTATCGAAGAATGTATAACCTTTGCTATCATATGCCCAATGAAGAGCTGCAGACAAATTTACGTTTTTGTTGTTAATGCATCCACGACTGGAAAGGGTGAAGCTGTAGGTAAAAACACCATATTATATATACAACTGAAAACTACATATACTGAACAACAAAAGTTCCTGCGACATTGAATAAGATTTAATGCAAGTCTGAAATAATTTCGGTTTGCAACAGATAAAAGACTCCTGTAAGTGTTCAAATGGTTTATTTTGCTATACTGACTTCAGAAAATGCGTGATTTCATACAAAAAAACCTGAACATGCCAAAATGTCAATTAACAAATCAATAGCGTGTGTCCACCTCTGGTTGCGATGCAAGCAACACATCTTCGTCTCATGGAATGGACCAGACGTCGCACAAAGTCCTGTGGGATATCTGTCCAATCTGCTGGAGCATGTTTCGAAGTTCCTGGGGTGTCTGTGGAATACGTGGTTGATGTCGAAGGCGCCGATCCATCTCATCCCACATGTGCTCGATTGGTGAGAGACCAGGGGAGCGAGCCGGCCAGGGGATGACATTCATATTGTTTTGTTTAGAATCCTGAACAAGTCGAGCAATATGAGGCCGGGCGTTGTCATGTTGAAAGGTAATGCCTGGGCCATGACGACGCAAAAACGGTAGAACAGGGCCGGTGATCTCGTCGCGGTAGCGCTGTCCATTGAGATTTCCCTCTACCACTATCACATGGGTCCTCTGTCTTGCTGTAATCCCACCCCATACCATAACGCTGCCGCCCCCGCCCCCTTCTTCCATGACACAATGATTGACGTAACGTTCACCTCGACGTCGGTACACTCGAATCCGTCCATCGCTGTGGCCGAGGTGAAAACGAGACTCGTCAGTGAATAGAACTTGTCCCTACTGCATGGCCGTCCAGCCTAGACGCTGTCTGCACCACTGTAGACGTGCTTGACGGTGGTTTCCTGTCAAAATGGGATGTCTTGCGGGTCTTCTGGCGACAATCCCTGCACATCTGAGGCGACGACGTACGGTTTGTGAAGATATTCGTCGAAGGCCAGGGATGCTTCTTGCAGTCACTGTTGCTAGTTGGAATCGATTTCGTAGGTGCGTTGTCCGAATCCAGTTGTCTTGTCGATTATTGGTCACGCGTGGCCTGCCACTCCGAGAATGGTCTCTGACTGCATTCATCAGGTGCCAACGTTGCCATAAACACCAAATGGCGTTTCTGTGGACGTTAAATTGTCTTTCAACATCACGTTGACTCGATCCTGCTTCAAGCATACCAATGGCTCGCAGACGCTCATCTTCGGACAGGCGTGGCATTCCGTAATGTTGAATAATTGCGTAATTTTGTTGTCTTTCTGAGTGATTGTTGCCAGCACGATGTTTAACAATGCATATGGTATCCCGTTAACGCACATGTTTTTATACCCATTCTTGGGTAGTGAAATGCATAGGGCTTGCATAAAAGTCAACTTTTGCATGGAATGCATGCTTTTCTGTAGCGGTTGCGTTCTTGTGACTTGATTCCATACATGTACTACAATATTGAAAACCAAACTTTACTTGTTTGAAAAATGCACTTAAATATTGGTGTCACAGGAACTTTTATTGTTGAGTATATGTAGGGTTTGTGTAGACAGTGAGATTGGACAATGGCGTACAGATATACGTGCATCTCAAGAAAGGCGGATCCAGTACTTTGAAAAGGAAGGGGTCCATAATATCAAAATCCTCAGATAATTTTACTGAATACAAGAAACTATTTGGTTAACAACTTATAAAAAGTATATTAATTAACATTACAATTAACGTCCATTTACTTTCAACGTTCTTCAAACACAGGTTAAATTTATTAACATATGTTCCAAGGGCAAACCTTATATGTTCCCCAGTGACGGTGCCGTTCCGTCTGCGTCTTCACCTCGATGTCGACTTAGGGAGCCAGTAATGATGGATAGATCCCTACCTTGTCAAAGGTAAGTCATGTTATAGTCTTATATGGTGTCATATATAAGCACACAAACATACTGGGCTAGTTATTATTTATAGTTTGATTTTGTTCTTTATATAAATTTATATTAAAAGATTTATACCATCCGCTTACCTTTTCATACAGTGGTGTCAACCGCTTTGACTACCACTCCTTGCTTTGAGATCCGCCCTGTATTCAGAGAGGATTTGGCCGGTGTGGTGCACCATACATGTGGCATCTTGACGCTTCTTTTGGCGTCCCGAGTTAATTTCTTTTCTTTTTGAGCAGGAACTGTAAATTTATTAAACATAATACTGCTTTTACCACATGAATTGCTTTCAGTAATTTTTATTTCTTATGTGAAAATTGTAATCATTTATGGTTAAGTAATTGTTGCCTCCATAATTAATAGATTCTTTAAATAAATTTAATTATATAATTAAATATATTGTTTGGAATCACGGAACCATTGACATGCGTTTAGGTGGTATGACTGTTTCCTTCAACGTAAAATTCATACTTCACATCACTACATTATTCTTTGTTATTTTATCCCTAACGTGTTTCCATACTACGTGGTTTTTCCTTTCATTTATAATTTTTACCGACCTCCTTTCAACCAGGGTCTATGCCAATTTGTATACATGTTATGTTTGTTCGGAAGATAATCTTCCTGTTGATAACAGTCAGTATTACATACACAGAGTGATTTAACGCTGGACAGTTGTTTGAGTTCATTGGAATCGGGTAAACAAAAAAGTGATTTTATAACCATGTCGAAAAGTGAGTGGGTGAGATTGATGCGATTTTTGCCGCTTTCGGCAATATTCCAGCAATATCACGGCTGGGGGACGCCAGAAATTGGTTTCACACATTGTACCCTTGTGGGGAATCTAACCCGGGCCTTCGTCGTGATGAGCGAACGTTTTAACCACTTGGCTACCCGACCATGCCGAGTAACATCTAACACAAAGTCAAAAGGCGACTATGCTCGGGTGGTGATCGGGTGGTCAGGCTCGCTGACTTGGTTGATGCATGTCATCGTATCCCAATTGCGTGGATCGATTCTCATGTCAATCACTGCGGCGTTAAACAACCAAACAAATGAGTGAGTGAGTTTGATTTTACGCCGCTTTTAGCAATATTCCTGCAAAGTCACAGCGGGGTACACCAGATATGGGCTTCACACATTGTACCCATGTCGGGAATCGAACCCGGGTCTTCGGCGTGACGAGCGAACGCTTTAACCACTAGGCTACCCGACCGCCCTACAACCAAACAAAACGAACAGTGGACCCGACATGTCCTTTACTGATTTATAAATTCCTTGTTCGTATTCATAATGATCAGTGAGTTCAAAACTGTTACCTTGATTACAGTGGAGTGCTGGCTTCCTTGATGGACCACGGCCGTGTGTATGGCTGGCTACCTGCGTTGACATACGGGCGATCTATTCTCCCGTGCGCCGCATCAACGCAGGCAAAGCACGTGCCACCTATGAAGCTTGGACAAAGCACGCTGAACAAGAAAAGCGGGACTGAAGACCCAACTATCCAAATTTTACCGGGTAACGGTCGCTGAAACCTTCCAAACACACATCCCAAACCGCGCAAATCTGGTAGACTTGGTTGTTTTAACTTAATTTGACTTGTACTTACGACACGTGTTTTCAAAACAATTGTCTTGCATTTGCATGTATTTGTGTCGGGTGCCTGGTAGGGCAGGATACGCTTTCTATTTAGCGAACACCTATCAAGATTTGACAGTGAAACGCACGCTCATGATCAAGTCGGAAGCGTACAATCGACTTTCTTAGTCGAAATTTCTTATGAATATGGGAAAGGAAAGGAAAAATGTGTCGCTTCTATTGTCAACCCCAGAATCGGCTCGCAAGATCGTCTCGTCGTCTGGACCGTCGGCCACGTCGTTAATTTCATACTGACGGACGAGGCGGTGGGGTCCCCTAGTGGTGAAAGCGTTTGCTCGTCACGCCGAAGGCCCGGGTTCGATTCCCCACATGGGTACAATGTGTGAAGCCCATTTTTTGGTGTTGCACCGCCGTGATATTGCTGGAATATTGCTAAAAGCGTATTCGTGGATCGATGATCATGATGTCAATCACTTGATTGTCTGGTCCAGACTCGATTATTTACAGACCGCTGTCATATAGCAAGAATATTGCTGAGTGCAGCCTTAAACCACAAACGAACAGCTACTATAGGGACTGTCCCCTGTGTGCATATACATTTGAACCATGACAAATAACGGCTCGTAAAAATGGTTCTCATATAATTTTTGGCGCTCGAAATGATAAAATCTGACTGTAGTATACTATAAACCGAAGGACAAAAGAAACAATACCAAGTTACATTTTCATGCAATTGAAAATCAAAAGAACTGTTAATCTTGATTATGTCTATTTAATCATCACCCTTTCCTACAACAGTTGGTAAAAGAATATTCTGTGGCTGGATATATAGTTGGAAAATTGCCGAATGCGGCGTTAAACAACAAACAAACAAACAGTAAGCTTTAAATTAATGTCAGACAGGCTGGCAATCTTTGCAGTGTACAACATGGCGTACACAATACGTGTAAAATGTATGGAAACAAGTTCTGTACGGAATGGATGCATGGAAACAAGGGCTGGACCGTAGGCGAGAATGAACTTCCCGGAATTTGACGTCACATGATTACAAAGATCAGACCTTCTAATCCATAGTTACCACCTGTTGTGCATTGTATTACCGAACCAAGGGTGGCACGGGTGGCCCAGTCGTCTGAGGCGCCGCAATTCCCTGTGCGTTGCGTTCCTTGGGCACGCCAAAAACCTATGATTGTGGATTCGCCCCGATTATGTTTCTAGGTTTGTCAGCACCAAACCTGTGCTCGTGTGTTTCACCGAAGTGGTAAACAAACGTCTTAGCCCTGCATCACTTCGGGCTTTCCTCCCACTTTAAGCTGACACGCCTTTATATTACTTGAACATTGTCCAAAGCGGCGTTAAACCCAACTCACTCACTCACTGCCCTCCAAATATAAATAAAATTCATTCAAATTCACTCTCGTAAGAAATTTCATTATTAAACTGTTATTGTTTTTTGCCGCTTTTAATGGGATATGCGTTGATAAATGGGCTATCAACAAGATTGAGTTTGTTGCCAGTAGTAAAGGATATTTATTTTGATTTTTTGACGTTTCAGTGACTTCTGTCATCGGTGATACGTTAACATAAAAATAAATTTGAATGAGTTGGCTAGAACATATCGAGAGAGGAACCTGAACGTGTTTTCACACTCACGCTCACACTCAGAAATTCATTTAGATCATGAATCCTGAGTTTTGAACTTTAAAATGAAAAACAAAACATCAATTCGGAAATGCAGTTGTGGTATACAGAGAAAAGACAAAAACGTCATTTGTTTGAATCTCATAATCCTTGGTTTGTCTCCACCAAACCGTGCCCGTGGGTTTTATCAAGGTCATAAACGTCTAAGAACTCTATCAAATCGGCGTAATCGTTCACGTGCACATCAGTGGATGAGTGGGTTCGGTTTTACGCTCTTGGGATTACTGGTATTTCAGCAATGTATCGGCGGGACTCGTCGTGGTATAACTGCAAATGATGGTGTTTGTTGTAATGGCCGATATCTTACCGCAGAACATCAAACGCTGACTCCGAGATCGTCCAGTCTTTGTTTTATCGAGCGCCAGGAAGGGTAACAACAAGAGCCATATTTTAACATCGTTCGGTGCGATGAACTACTGACCTTCCGCTCTCCGAGCAAACACTCTATCTATGGAGGCGGTCAGAATAGAGAAAGCGGAAGGTGGGGATAAGAGAGTGAAATGCTGTTTTACGCTGTCACCTGCAGTAATCAAGCTTTATCGCGACATCATGTATATAATCCCATCTCGACTTTGCAAATCCGAAGTCAAAATGTATATTTTGATTCCAAAGTTTAAATGTAGTCCACAGTCCCATGTACAATACTTTTGTGCACTCGGCAATATTCCAGCTATATGACGGCGGTCTGTAAATAATAGTCTGGTCATTGATATCATGAGCATCGATCTACACAATTGGGATACGATGACATGCATCAACCAAGTCAGCGAGCCTGACCCCCGAACCCGTTAGTCACCTCTCCCCCATGTACATTCTACCACGACAATGCTGAAAGCTTGATTCTGATTGGTTATAAAGAGGTTTCCTCTTTGCTGCGGACCCCTTTCAAATATATTAAGCCTTTTCACAAAAAACGTGCGTATGAATACATAGCCTACATATCGATTAAAAAAAAATGTCTTGAATATAATCATGTCAAGATTATTGCGGTATGCGTTGGAGAGATATTCGTAATGTTTGTTTGTTGTTCAACGCCGCACTTAGAAATATTACAGCAATATGACGGCGGTCTGAAAATAATCGAGAAATAATCATGAGCATCGATCAACCATGTCAGCGACGATCACCCGATCCCGTTAGTCACCCTTACCACTATTTTCTTTTTCTTACATGCCAGATCTAAGTTAATTTAATCATTCATGTTTTAGTTCTTGGTTGCTGTGATTCTGGGTGGGATCCCATGTATCCGCTGCTAGGCAAGAACCCACTATGGTGGCCCAGTGGTCAGGCTCCGTGATTGCACTTATTACCTATCACTGTGCCTCGATGGCGTTGATAGGTCGTTGCTCCAGCTTTCAGTCCTTGGTTTGCCTGTCAGCACTACACAAATAATTCCTTTTGGCGGGGTTATACCGAAATTCACTTTAAAGTTTATGAAGGCTTTAAACCATCCTCTGTTTCATTACAGTAACCTAGATGCGAACCGTGAAATGTTCGTACAGAGGCATCCTGTTTTCTAGCAGACTAGTCAATATTCATCACGTGACTGGTCAATATTGACCGTATGATGAGGTCAGTGTTAGTTACATGTTTTGGGGTCTACATTGAAATTTATTGTTTCGTCACCTTGTACGGATTGACCAATGGAATTGCAAGATTTCTAACAGGTATTACAATACAATAATGTGCACGATACTTGGATATATCTGGAATATTGCTGAATGTGGCATTAAATATTCATTCACTAAAAAATAAATACGCTTCGGGGACTTTCATATTTTCATTTCAGGGATACAGATCATAGAAGCACCAAAATAGACCACAACACCGCCATGTACATCTTCCCGAGGCAAGAGAGTTAACTGACTTTAAAAGTCCAGTTTCCACCCTTGCCGAACTAGGCTGGAATTCCTGGGTTCGATCGTAGCGTCGCCAGTAGCTATTACGAGTTATGTCCCTTCTAAGCCTCTCTGGACCAATAAGATTCCATCTCTCGTATCACATGCATTTGCTTCAAACAAAACGGCGGCACCCAGTCAAGAAGATGTGATCGATAATCAAGACAAAACTGGTCTTACATCGTGAAGTGCATCAAATCATGTGAGCACCTTGATTAAAAACATGAAAAGATTTGGAAAATATCTGCTGACAACGAGTTGGCGGTGCACATGTTTTGCAAATCCTGCAATCGACAGAAATCTGCATGGTAACAGTTGACGAACCGGACTTCAATTTCGTTGCGCGATTTTGATTGGACTATGCATAGACTCGTCAGTCCATCCAAATTATAACTCCATGATACCAGCCTAGTTCGGCAAGGGTGGAAACTGGACTTATATAGTCAGTTAACTCTCTTTGGCTCGGGAAGACGAGCCATGTATTACCATGGGCCTTTTTATAAATGCTTGAAGTAAGGAAGAAACACCATCGCATGGTTGGTTGGTTGTTTTGTTGTTTAACGCCGCACTCAGCAAAATTCCAGCTATATGACATCGGTCTGTAAATAATCGATAATGGACCAGACAGTCCAGTGATTGACATCATGAGCAATTGGGACCGATGACATGCATCAACCAAGTCAGCGAGCCTGACCACCCTTTTACAACAAGCATAGTCGCGTTTTACGGCAAGCATGGATTGCTGAAGATCTATTCTTACCCGGATCTTCACGGGTCCCATCGCATGGTGGAGCTGTCGATAAGCTGTAAGTCTCAAGCCCGTAATTGATCACCCCTATGGTGATGTGACTGTAATATTGGTATATGCTCACTCACTCCAAATATATGCAACAAAGTCAGATAACATGGTTTATTAAAAACAATCTGTACAAAGAGGCATTGTGTACTTAATATGAAAAGATGCATTACCCATAACACACCATATGAATTTCTCAATGTCAAAAAAAGTAAAATCCACTTTCTCCTGCCTATGCTGCCCTGGTGGTGTTTATACCCATCGTTTGACCCCCCTGTGTCTGGGCCTCCGTCTGGAGGAACGTTCATGAAGGCACTGAAAATATCATGAACATACGGGGATTACTTGAGGTTTTGATGGTACGCTAGCGAATGGTATTATCACAGTAGGGTGGGGATTTATCATTCAAAACTGGCTTCCACAGGAGATATCACTTTTGTGAGATCAAACGATTTCTCCCAGGAGATATCATCGCTATGGTGAAATTCAGTCACAATGCCTTGTGAAAAACTGACGTCATCCGTTGCCGAGATTGAGAAGGCCATTGGTGCTGTTGGCTTGTCCAAACTCATGAGGGAAATAAGTGTTTTAAAGCAAATGTTAAAGATATTTTGTATTGCACAAATATCCACCTAAACCCAGTAGGTTATACTACCATTTTGTTCCCATAATTATAAAACTGAAATGCCTAGATTTGTCGACAATAAAAAGGACATAAAGACGCCCACAGGAGATGCGGCAGCTACTGAGTACTCAGATGAGGTAGCTACTGAGTACTCACCAAGTCAGGTCGATGAGAGAATAGTATCATAATAGGAGATGCGGCAGCTGCCAGTACTCACCAACATCATCCAGAAGATGAACCAGGGGCAGAACAGGATGCTCACGAGGAGATGCAACAGGTGGTTGACTCCCTCTTCACGTCTGAGAAACCGATAAAATCACAAATATTTAACCTATATTCAAAGCATTTGTTCATATCATTCTACCGAAGTTAGAAATTACAGAAGTCTTACTGATTAATCATAGCTTACACACACGAATCCTCTGATTCAAATGTATGATAGGACGTCAGGGTCTGAAGAAAATTGCCACCTCTGACTGTACTGTTACTTGAACCATGATTGAGACCTTGGTACTTTTAGTATTTGTGTGAGTGAGTGAGTTTGAATTTACGCCGCTTTTAGCAATAATTCAGGAATATCACGGCGGGGGGCACCAGAAATGGGCTTCATACATTGTACCCATGTCGGGAATCGAACCCGGTTCTTCGAACGCTTTAACCACTAGGCTACCCGACCGCCCCTATTTGTGTAAGTACATAATTATATAGTACACTGTGTACGTACAAATAAATACATTTAAAAAATAACTGCAAGAGTTCTACCAAAACTTGTATCGGCCAATATGAAACGTATGGACGAGGAACGTTTGGGCTGACCTAACTTATACCTCATACTCATTCATTTACTCGAGGGGTGGTCGGGTAGCCTAGTGGTTAAAGCGTTCGCTCGTCACGCCGAAGACCCGGGTTCGAATCCCGACATGGGTACAATGTGTGAAGCCCATTTCTGGTGTCCCCCGCCGTGATATTGCTGGGATATTGCTAAAAGCGACGTAAAACCATACTCACTCACTCACTCATTTACTCGAATAAATCTTAGAATGTCAACTTGACAATGTGTGGTTGTATTGTGCACCTATACTGGGAGTTTGTTGTTGTTGTTTAACATCGCACCCAGCAATATTCCAGCTATATAACGGCGGGCTGTAAATAATCAGTACAAGACAATTTAGTGATTTGCATCATGAACATCGATCTACGTAACTGGGATCCATACATGCAATCGACCAAGTCATGTTTCCTGGCCACTCGATGCATTTAGACGCCTTTTACAACAATCAAAACTTTGCTGTTGGCCAATATTCTTATACCAGTTATCCCACGGGGTAAGTGAAAAGAAAAGGTGTATCGGCCATAACACTAATAACTGAAGGAAAAGAAATCATGGCAACGAAAAAGGAGGGTAACAGTGTTCACTACATTCCTTGTTCAAATGACGATAAATTCCCAATAGACCCGTGAAGACCCGGGGTAGAATGGGTACTCAGCAACCCATACTTGTCGTAAAAGACGACTTTGCTTGTCGTAAGAGGCGACTAACGGGATCGGGTGGTCAGGCTCGCTGACTAGGTTGATGAATGTCATCGTATCCCAATTGCGTGGATCGATGCTCATGATGTCAATCACTGGATTGTCTGGTTTAGACTGTTATTTACAGACCGCCGTCATATAGCTGGAACATTGCTGAGTGCGGCGTTAAACAATAAACAAACAAATTCCAAATATGCAATTTTACTCCTCGCAAAAATGCTGACTAAACGAGTGATGTATGTTGTTTTTGTTTTTTTGTTTAACGCAACAGTCAGCAATGTTCCAGCTCTATGACGCCGGTATGTACATTTTCGAGTCCGGGCCAGTCAATCCAGTGATTATCGATCTTCGCAATGGGATACGATGACATGCACCAACCAAGTCAGCAAGCCTTCCCACCCGATCCCGTTAGTCGTATTTTGCGACAAGCATAGGTTGCTGAACGCCAGTTATAACCCTGCATCTTCACGGGACAAACGAGTGATGTAACTGATTATGTCAATATTGTTCTGGTGAATATTATCTCTTTTCAGTACTAAATCAATTCAATCTCAATGACATGACATTAGTCCGCTGTTCGTCCAAATTTCACGCCTTATAGAGACGTTGTTGACACTAAAAGCATGTAACTATACCGTGTGAAGACAAGCTGTGGCAGCGTCAATCTCCGATGCAGCGGATGGGTGTCGTCAGTGGAAATCTGTTAAATATCAAATACCATGCTTTAGACAATCAAGTCTGCAAGGTTATACATTTTCTTTTACCTGAAAAAAGGACTTTGTCCAAACGGTGGTCGAAGTTTGCTGGAATTGTTTAAAGAGAGATAACTTCTCACAAACCGGAAGTCTGGCCTGACCGGAAGAGTATGCAAATTGGGGTGCAAAAGAAACCATTCCTCTCAGTTGTCTTTATCGTATGTTGGGACTTTCAATTGAAAATATAAGTTAGCGATATTATATTTAAAAACATAACAGTAACGGCGCATTAACTAACATTGTGACTTGAAATGTTTGATGGGCATTTGGCCTCATTACAAAAACAAATTCATTCGTTCATTCAATAGAATAACTAAGATGTCAATTTTTTTAAAAAAGGTACTATTATAAAGACAAGGGGAACCTGTCGGACACAAAATGCCACTGTTTAATTTCAAGTGTCTATGAATAAATAATAATCACACCCACATTCATTGCATCTTCCCGAGGCAAGAGAGTTAACTGACTATAAAAGTCCAGTTTCCACCCTTGCCGAACTAGGCTGGTATTTTGGAGTTACATTTTGGCTGGACTAACGAGTCTATGCATAGTCCAATCAAAATCGTGCAACGAAATCGAAATCCGGTTCGTAAACTGTCGTGCAGATTTCGGTCGATTGCAGGTTTTGCAAAACATGTGCACCGCCAACTCGTTGTCAGCAGATATTTTTCAAATCTTTAGATGTTTTTAATCAAGGTGTTCACGTGATTTGATGCATTTCGTGATGTAAGACCCAATTTATCACAATATAGATCTTGATTATCGATCGGATCGTCCTGACTGGGCGCCACCATTTTGTGTGAAGCAAACGCAAGTGATACGAGAGGTGGAATCTGATTGGTCCATAGGAGAGGCTTAAAAGGGACATAACTGGTAAAAGCCACTAGTGGCGCTACGATCGAATCCAGTAATTCCAGCCTAGTTCGACAAGTGTGGAAACTGGACTTTTAAAGACAGTTAACTCTCTTGCCTCGGGAAGATGCATTCATTGCGTCATGGTTCAAGTTTTCATTGTGATTCAGTATACAAACTTATAAGTTGTTATGAGACCCGCGGGCCCGCATATCTGTATGTAAACTTACACTAGAGAATAAAAAAATGCTACTATATTTAGTGAATAGCCTCATATCTATAATGGTAGTATGGTGGATTTTACACGGCTTGGAAAAATATTTCAGTTGCATTACGAATGTCAACAGTATTTGGGGGGAATTCCCGAGGTATTCCGATCGCAGTTGCTTAACAGGTTTGTGAAACCCATTCTCCGTTGTGAAAAGATTGCTTAGATTCTTATAGAACCAACTACCAAGAGAATGAGTTTGATTTAACGCCACTTTGAACAGTATTCCAGTTATTATAGCTTAATGTGGGAGGAAATCCCGAAGTAATGCAAGTCTCAGACGTTTACCACTTCGGTGAAACCCACGAGCATGGGTATGGTGCTGACAAACCTAGAAACATAATCGGAGCGAACCGGGATTCGAACCCACAATCATACTATTAGGTTTCTGGCGTGCCCAAGGGACGCAACTCCTGGCCTGTATGAATGAATGTCGGAAAGATAAAGTCGTTGTCAACCGATCCCTCGGGGTATATGGTGTGATGTACCCTGTGTGTGAGCCTGACGGCTCGGGTACATAGACTAACACACAGTACATCACACCATATACCCTCCGTATCGATTGACAACGTATAATGTTAGACTTGTGTATCCAACAAAAATATTACGATCGGTCAAAAAATAATAAAGTTTAACATTCCCATGTTATTTATCACTGATGTTATTGACTCCAGTCGGTCGAATTCGTAAACCACAAAATTTAAACTAACCAGATATCGAGATAAGCTGCGTATTTGCGTCTAATACGCATTACGTATACTGAAATACGCAGACAAATCAAATCCTAGCATATCAGATACGCAACAAAAACTATAAATACGCAATTAAAATAAATTAATGCGTATATTATAACCATTAGATAAAACGATTGTGTATCAGTCGATCGCGAAATTCCCTTAACGACAGTTACATTCGGAAAAAGCTTGTGGGACAACCATAAATGTCAATTGATAAGCACATCCTGCCTAGTCAATGGTGAGTTGAAATGGGGTTTAACGTCGCGTCCAAGATTATTGCACTTACATAACGACGTGCATGCACGTGTGTGTGTGTGTGTGGCTGCTTGTACTAGTCAGGACTGATGCCGATTTATAGTGCTAGCCCACTGAGATACCATGCCGCAGTTTACCATGAATACCCCACTCAGACACAGTATACTGACTCCGAGCCGACCAGTCCTTGTTTAAGCCACTTAATGCCGAGCGCTAGACAGGGTAACCATGTTTTAACGTCTTTTCGTATGACATGACCGGGGATCGAACCCCGGACCTTCAGCTCTCCGGGCGGGAGCTATACCACTGGACCACGGAGGCGGTCTGCCTAGTCAATGTACAGATGCAGAAGGGTATACTAATATTCATATAGTTTAAAATGATTTACAAGGATTGTCACGAAATAGGTTTTCAAGTCAAAATACCCAAATCTTAAGAAACAGGTAGGTAGAAAATATTTGAATACCCTCTACAAATTGTGGATACCATTTCAAAATCAAACCCCTGGTTAAAATACCCAAATAGCCAAAAGTTTATCTATAGCTGTGCTAACAGAGACTATTAAACGATTTATCGTAACAATCGTGAAACTAATCATTTCTATGGACTTCTAAGATAGACCTACGTCCGAGGTAGCTGTCTCGACGAGCACCTGCAATGGAGTTACTGGATAGACGGGTGGCAGTGGCATAGGATGTCCTCCATTACAAGCTGAAGGCATCTGTCCAAGGTCATCATCACCTTCAAACAGAGGCAGACTCCAATGTCTGTCAGAAGACTCCGACATGTGTAGCGTTGGGGAAGTGTTCAACTGGTCGTAGTCAGTCGGCATGATGGGCCGTATGTTCAGTGGGTATGGGGGTAACCGGTTGTATTGCTGGTCACTCTCTGGGACGTCCTCTGAATCCAGAGGCACTATGATGGGGATGTTGGTGGGGTATGGAGGTAGATGATGATGCGCTGTCTCCGTCGTTGTCGATTCAGGATCTGGTGCAAAAGTAGGACTGCTTTACAATTGCCTGTCTAAAATTATTCGACTCTCTCAAGGTTCATACAGATATGGAAAAAAATAAAGGCTTTTTTCAAAAGTCATTTATAAGGCTTTTCTGTTGGGTTATTAGCCTTGGTCTGCCCATATTTCTTTAATACATACAATACATTAGTCATAAGACCTAAGAAGCACCAGGAACACCCCCAATTTTCCAACAACATATATTTTCAAAACAAACAATTATAATAAATCATGTCTATCATGAATTTTAAAAGTTTTATAAAGTTTATATTATTTTTTAAATTCAAGGCTTTTCAGGCTATTTTGGTGATGATAAGACCTTTTCATACCTGTATAAACCTTGTCTCTGAATACTGAAACTGTGGCACAGAGGACAACGCAAGGTAATGCCCAGTGGAGCGGGGCTGACCAAGTCTTAATTTATTTTTTCCTACCTGAATGGGAGCCCTGTGAAATCTCCGCCACTTCTGTCGGACATGAAGGGAAGAGAGTGTGTATGTCGGGCTGGGGGTGTGCTGAAACAGTGGAGTTTTCTGTCAGCCACCCCTGGCATTTATCTCACCATTACGAGTTTCTTGTGAAACATAATTTGGGAAAAGATAGTTAAAGTCATGTTGAAAAATAATAACATTATTGTATCGTTTGAAGAGTCTTACATGAAGAGGTAGTGACGTTGCCTTCATGACTTTCCTAAATTAATTCATAAATATATCTGGCGATCAAAATGTTTTTAACAATTACCAGATATGATAACTATCAAAACATGAAATACCACAACTCCTTATAAAATACCTAACGTAATGTTATTGTGGAGAACCTATTCATCAAAGAATGCTTACATAAGAGTGAGATTTTGTTGTTTACGTCATTGCAGTCAGTGATTGAGGGGGTAAGTTGGGTTTAACGCCGCTTTAAACACTCTACCAGTAATACCACGGGGTGTCAGTTGATGTTGGAGAAAGCCCACAGGTGATGCAGGTATGAGACGTGACACAGCCACGAGCACGGGTATGGCCTGACAAACCTAGAAACAATCGGGGGCAAACCGGAATTCGAACCCCACCTCACAGGTTTCTGGTGTGCCCAGGGGACGAAACAGCGAACAGAGAATTGCGGCGACTAAGACGACGGAGTGAAAGAGTGAGTGAGTTGGGTTTAACGCCGCTTTTAACAGTATTCCAGTTATACCACGGCGTGTCAGCTTAATGTGGGAGGCAATCCCGAAGCGATGTAGGTCTCGGACGTTTACCTTTTCGGTGAAACCAACGAGCATGGGTATGGTGCTGACAAACCTAGAAACATAATCGGGACGAACCGGGATTCGAACCCAAAATCATAGGTTTCTGGCGTGCCCAAGGGATGCAACTCTGCACAGCGAATCGCGGCATCTCAGACGACTAGGCCACCCGTGCCCCCCTAAGACGACTGAGCCACCCGTGCCCCCACTACATTGCAGACAATGAACAGTAAATGCACAACAGTAACTGCAGAATGTCCACCTCACAAACCACTATATGCAAGCTACCCACCTGCAACAAAGTGGACATCAAACTGCTGACCGCCACCCGGAACGACTTCCTGCATCGGACCGTCATCTGCATGTGTTGACCCGTTGGACGTCATGGAGTCCACGTCATCTCACAACCTAAACCTACGAGACAGTACAGTAATGCATTCATATATGTTTGTGTAAAAAGTGTTGTTTCATGATTGAGGCTCTATGGTGTAACGATGCATTGAACTGTCAATGAACTGGATGATCCACTCCGCCCCCCATGTCCTATGTTTACACTATATAACTAAGATGTCCTATGTTTACACTATATAACTACGATGTCCTATGTTTACACTGTATAACTACAATGTCCTATGTTTACACTATATAACTAAGATGTCCTATATTTACACTGTATAACTATGATGTCCTATGTTTACACTGTATAACTACAATGTCCTATGTTTACACTATATAACTAAGATGTCCTATGTTTACACTGTATAACAATGATGTCCTATGTTTACACTATATAACTACGATGTCCTATATTTAAACTGTATAACTATGATGTCCTATGTTTACACTGTATAACTACAATGTCCTATGTTTACACTATATAACTACAATGTCCTATGTTTACACTATATAACTATGATGTCCTATGTTTACACTGTATAACTAAGATGTCCTATATTTACACTGTATAACTATGATGTCCTATGTTTACACTGTATAACTACAATGTCCTATGTTTACACTATATAACTACAATGTCCTATGTTTACACTATATAACTACGATGTCCTATGTTTACACTATCTAACTAAGATGTCCTATGTTTACACTGTATAACTACGATGTCCTTTGTTTACACTATATAACTACGATGTCCTATGTTTACACTATATAACTACAATGTCCTATGTTTACACTATCTAACTAAGATGTCCTATGTTTACACTGTATAACTACGATGTCCTATGTTTACACTGTATAACTACAATGTCCTATGTTTACGCTGTATAACTACGATGTCCTATGTTTACACTGTATAACTACGATGTCCTATGTTTACAGTGTATAACTATGATGTCCTATGTTTACACTGTATAATTACAATGTCCTATGTTTACACTGTATAACTATGATGTCCTATGTTTACACTATATAACTACAATGTCCTATGTTAACACTGTATAACTACGATGTCCTATGTTTACACTGTATAACTACGATGTCCTATGTTTACACTGTATAACTACGATGTCCTATGTTTACACTGTATAACTACAATGTCCTATGTTTACACTGTATAACTACAATGTCCTATGTTTACACTGTATAACTACAATGTCCTATGTTTACACTATATAACTAAGATGTCCTATGTTTACACTGTTTAACTATGATGTCCTATGTTTACACTATATAACTACAATGTCCTATGTTTACACTGTATAACTACAATGTCCTATGTTTACACTGTATAACTACGATGTCCTATGTTTACACTGTATAACTACAATGACCTATGTTTACACTATATAACTACGATGTCCTATGTTTACACTATATAACTAAGATGTCCTATGTTTACACTATATAATTACGATGTCCTATGTTTACACTGTATAACTACAATGTCCTATGTTTACACTATATAACTACGATGTCCTATGTTTACACTATATAACTAAGATGTCCTATGTTTACACTGTATAATTACGATGTCCTATGTTTACACTGTATAACTACAATGTCCTATGTTTACACTGTATAACTACAATGTCCTATGTTTATACTATATAACTACGATGTCCTATGTTTACACTATATAACTACGATGTCCTATGTTTACACTATATAACTACGATGCCCTATGTTTACACTATATAACTACGATGTCCTATGTTTACACTGTATAACTATGATGTCCTATGTTTACACTATATAACTACGATGTCCTATGTTTACACTGTATAACTACAATGTCCTATGTTTACACTATATAACTACGATGTCCTATGTTTACACTATATAACTAAGATGTCCTATGTTTACACTGTATAATTACGATGTCCTATGTTTACACTGTATAACTACAATGTCCTATGTTTACACTGTATAACTACAATGTCCTATGTTTAGACTATATAACTACGATGTCCTATGTTTACACTGTATAACTACAATGTCCTATGTTTACACTATATAACTACGATGTCCTATGTTTACACTGTATAACTACGATGTCCTATGTTTACACTATATAACAATGATGTCCTATGTTTACACTGTATAACTATGATGTCCTATGTTTACACTATATAACTACAATGTCCTATGTTTACACTATATAACTACGATGTCCTATGTTTACACTGTATAACTACTGTATAGTGTAAACATTGGACATTGTAGTTATATAGTGTAAACATAGGACATTGTATAGTTAAAATTCAATGATTAAAACCACCCGTCCCACATGATTTTAGATGTAAAAACTTATGCGAAACCTTTAAGGTGTTTTTTTACATATGTAGATTGATATAATTTTATAAAATGCGAAAATTAAGACTAAAGCATTGACACATATGCGATCCAGAAAATATAACAGCGGAACTCTATATGATCTGCGTTTTATGAAAACTGTAACTTTGAGCAAGGTGTCCCGGGCGGTTACAAAGGGAAACCACTCTCAACTAGTGTTTGAACTAAGATTAGCTTCCCCTGAGTTATCAATGAGGTCACGGTCATTACTGTAGCCTGCCGACACCTTCCGTTTTTATCCTTCCCACAATATCGAAAGGGTATGTTGTGTCACACTTCTTCAGCATAGACTCGGATAGAACTATATTGTAAGCTATCGACTCCACAGTTATGTGGATCGCTGTCGCGATTAAGAACATTTTTGACGTGAAATCCTTGATGCGTTCTTCGTGTTTTCGAAGTGTCAATTTGAATCACACAGCTTTACAAAATGAAATGTCAACGATTGAACGTAAAGCAGACTAATGGTTTGTCAAAATATCTATGGAAAAGTACGCCGCCATCTTGGATGAAGATAAAATAAACTTACGACAGGTATGGGCTATCTTACATTTACGACAATCTTAAGATATCTTAGGGCTACGATAGGTTCGAAAATATGATACGATAGCCTACGATTTCCTTACGACAAATTTACGATAATTTTAGGGCTACGATCGTTTCGAAAATCTAGGCCCAGGTGACGTCGTTACATCTCCTCATCCAATTTCAAATGTTTCAACGGTGGTGTTACTTAGCCAGTTTATAAATAATTATTGATAACAAAATACAACTGATGATAGATAAATAATGTTCGAACATACAATTCAGTGGTATCAAATGCATCCACTTCTACTTGCAGGCTCCAACATAAAACTTGTAACTTTGGGTGGTCTCCCTTCGTGTATTCAAGGGAGATAATTCTAAACATATAATGCATTGATACCGCTAACAACAGCAAAATAACATGCCACACTACCATCCAACATAAAAAACGAAAAAATACAAATTTAACAAAATCTCTTTATTCATTCAGAAATATCTTTACATCAACAAATCAATCAAACGACTTGGAAGGTTTTTTTTAAAATGCTTGACATATGTCATCATATTGCAAGATTGTAAGTCACGTATGATAATGATATATCCGTATAAAAAATAAAACTAAAAATAATAACATCGATATGATTCGTAGTTGATGAAGATGCAGGTGATATCTCTTCAAATTTAAAGCGTAACAATACTAATACATGCTGAGTCTCATGACAACAGGTGCTGTTCATTGCCTACACGAGAGTTACCGTACATAATAAACGCCGGCATCTCGACCAAACGCCGGGCCTCGATTAAACAGATAGTTTTTATGCTCGGAATGCTCCCCATTATTATCGCCGTCTGTAAAAAAAGGTCTGAAAGAAACAAACGCCCGGCCGTTTAAAAGAGAAAAAATATAGAAAATCCCGCAACGATGATTATTGATATGTTCAATAAGTTGCTTTATATATATTATATATAGTTTGCTGAGTGTTTTTTCGGTGATACCTTACACGATTGGTGAATTGTTTGACCAACAGTTACTATAACAGCTGAAACGAAATGTTGGTAAGATATTTGAATCGTATTACACTGCCCACTGACTACCGATCTTTATGAGGGAAGTGGAAAGTATGGCCTGCTCAGCTTCAATTCACCAGTGTTCAATGAAGGATGAATGGTATACAAAACATAGATTTGTCATATGTCATTAAAGGTCAGTTTCTTCTTCTGATATCTTAATCGTTGCTGGCGTTGTGACGGTGCTCAGTTATCCGTAATGCACTGAAAAACAGGACGTCAAATGTCATATTATGAATACACTGTAAACGAGGAAAATATGTGAATTCAGGAAATATCATATTTCGGATAATAGAAAATGTTAGAGGGGAACAATATGCCCGATAATATTTTAACGATATAAATGAATAGGAACTTTTCTTGAATAGGAACTATATTAAAACCGACGAATTGTTAAATTATGAAAAGCAACCTTTCATTCAAACTATGAATGCATCGAGCGTAATGCTGTTGATTAAATGAGTTGATGCGTTTTAAACCATGGGGAAAAGGTGAGTATTTATGGTCATATCTTGATGTATTGTGTTGTCCCGGTTGATAAACCCTGGACTTTAAACACGATTGGTTGAAAGTCAACAAATTAAAGGGTAAAGAAAATAAGAACGCCAAACGTCAACGAGGAAAATATGTGAATTCCTGAGATATAATACTCCGGATACTAGAAATTAATAGGGTAAAACATAGAGGAGAACAGTGTGTGTGTGTGTGTGTGTGTGTGTGTGTGTGTGTGTGTGTGTGTGTGTGTGTGTGTGTGTGTGTGTGTGTGTGTTGGGGGTGGGGTGGGGTGGGGTGGTGTCTGAAATTGGTCTATAATTGGTCTAAAAAACACTACACGTCGTTGCATTTATTCAATGTGGTACATTTAAATTAAATTCTTGAGTCAAAATTACTCATTTTGTCAAAAGGTGTAACAAAATATTGTTAATCTACCAACCCGTCGAAGTTCATTTTAATTCTTATTCCCACAAAGTACCAAACATGTACCGTCCAACGATGACTTATCAAATCAATACAGGTCCTGTCACTCCAAGGGTATTGTAAACTAATGGGAAAGAAGACGTCGGGTTGTTTAAAAGGAGTAGATTCCCATGAATAACAGTGGAGGTAAACTAACCAGAATGATCCAGACAATCACCCAGGGCCAGAAGAAGAGGGATATTATGCAGTGAAGCACGTGGTTCACCCCTTGGCTGAAACAGACACATAGTATGCGTTACCCAGACAGTGGGACACGTGTTAGTTCACAGGGACTAAACCAATCCTGTCGTTTGAGTGAGTGAGTGAGTGAGTTGGGTTTAACGCCGCTTTTTACAGTATTCCAGTTACATCGCGGCGTGTCAGCTTAATGTGGGAGGAAACCCCAAAGTGATGCAGGTCTCAGACGTTTACCGCTTACCAACGAGCACGGGTATGGTGCTGACAAACCTAGAAACATAATCGGGGCGAACTGGGATTCGAACCCACAATCATAGGTTTCTGGAATGCCCAAGGGACGCAACTCTGCACAGCGAATCGCGGCGCCTTAAACGACTGGGCCACCCGTGCCCCGCTTCCGTTTGAACACTACAGAGGATGAGTGAGTGAGATAGGTTTAACGCCGCTCAGAACAGCAGGTCAGTTATTTGGGGTGTGTCGAAGGAAGCCTCGAGTGATACAGGTCGTATACCCCTTTAGTAAAACCCCTGAGCACGGTGACCGCCTTAATAAAAATAATCGGGTCGAAACCTGAGATTCGAACCCTCGATAAGTAGGACCTTGGGACAGTTACACTAGAGTGAGTGAGTATGGTTTTACGCCGCTTTTAGCAATATTCCAGCAATATCACGGCGGAGGACACCAGCAATGGGCTTCATACATTGTACCCATGTCGGGAATCGAACCCGGGTCTTCGGCGTGACGAGCGAACGCTTTAACCACTAGGCTACCCGACCGCCCCAGTTACACTAGAAGCTGCCCGGAACAACGAATATTAACGTTTGAGCCAATCCTGCCTCTGATTCCGAGTCTAAACAGACAAGGCCCTTTCCTGTCCTGCCATACCTACATGCATGGTGACAAAGGATTGTTACATGGTAGGCATGTGTGACTGTGTGTTTGTTGCTTAACGCCGCACTCAGCAATATTCCAGCTGTATGACGGCGGTCTGTAAATAATCCGGTCTGGACCAGACAATCCAGTGATTGACATCATGAGCATCGATCCACGCAATTGGGATACGATGACATGCATCAACCATGCAAGTCAGCGAGCCTGACTACTCGATCCCGTTAGTCGCCTCTTACGACAAGCAGAGTCGCCTTTTACGGCAAGCATGGGTTGCTGAAGACCTATTCTACCCCGGATCTTCACGGGTCTGGTAGGCATGTAATTAAATGAATACAGATATATTTACTGAACAAAGAAGTTAGGGATCATAAATATCTTGTGGGTAGATGTTTTGTCGCGACGACTGAGCACACAGTTTAGAGAAATACCCCCATCAGTGTATACTAGTTTCGTTTCATGGTCAGAAATCGCTTCATTTTTTTTCGAGACTAAAAGTTGTGATTCCGCAGGAATAATAATTCATTTCAGGTTGACCTTTACTGGTATTCAAACAAGGCATAACAAGGTAGACAAAAACACACCGTTGACGATTTTCCGTTTGTTTACGAAGTAGATAAACAGTCATTAGATAATTAATATGTGAATGATAAGATTGGTTCTAAAAGCCCCAAGACCGATCGGCTATCTATTAGATGTAGAGTAACTACGGGGGATAACTCTCACCGTTCTACAATAACTGTCTGCTGGGGCTGACCGCCAACAACAACCACGTTGGTAGCAGACTGTTGTGCCATCATCTGCGGCTGGAAAGGATGATTATGATTATGATTATGATTATGATTATTATTACTGCTGTTACTGCTTTGGTTATTTGTTTATGTTTGCATAATGTCTACAAACAAATATCTCACAAACTACACATGTATAAATTACTTGATAGGCATTACTTAAAAGTTGAAGGATGACAAAGTGGAGACAATTTTCTGGATAACAACTTCATTGATACTGTAAAGGCGACGTTTCGGAATAGATCCTTATACCGTTGTCAAGCTTTACAACGGTATAAGGATCTATACCGAAACGTCGCCTTGACAGTATTAAAGAAGTTGTTATCCATCAATTGTGTCTACTTTACACATGTATAGCCACACAGCTGTGAAATCGTAGTTTGGTAGTGCTCCTCATTAACTAGCAGACATGTGTCCCTGTGGAGAGTGGACTAGTTTCTCATTGCGATTATATTGCAATAGGACTCACGCCAGTATTAAATGCAATAGTATTAAAACAATTTAAGGCTTGATCAAGGTATTAATCAATGTAATATGAATGTATAAAATATTGCTGACACTGTCAAAGTTATCCTTTTGCCCTCTGTCGCCTCTCTATCACAAGGGAAATATCTCTAATATGAAGTTATTAAATTTCTATAGTTATAGTACAGCCGTAGAGCTAACAATTGATAGTTCGATATATCGTTACGAGCCTATTGCTCATGCTGTTTGTCGCTTGTTTACCTGATCTAGGGGTTTTCAGGCCGCCGTAATGGCTGGAATATTGCTACATGCAGCTTCAGAAACTTAACTCGCTCACCCCTACAGTGCCCCGTGTACATCCGGGTAAGAATTGTTCTTCAGTTTTCAAGAAGCGACTAACGGGATCGGGTGGTCAGGCTCGCTGACTTGGTTGATGTATGTCATCGTATCCCAAATGCGTAAATTGATGCTCATGATGTCAATCACTGGATTGTCTGATCTAGACTCGGTTATTTACACACCGCCGCCCTATAGCTGGAATATTTTTTTAAAGTGCGGGCGTTAAACAACTAACAAACACACACTCCTACAGTACGAGTCCTAATATAGTCAGATAGTGTACCAATGGGATTCACAAACGCAGTCAAGGTTTCAAATTGAAGAATTAATTGTAAATCCCCCTGTTTCAAAAGTATATTTACAGACGTAACTGACTATTTTCAAATGTATTTTGTTAGAATTATATGTAGTCACGTTTACGTAGCTTGTATATACATGTCACGTGGGCAGTATATCAGCAATAGGATGACCTAGTCTGTTTGTCATGTAATTGACACGATCGTGATTTGATACCTCTGATTAACGCATGCTAAGCAATCACTGTCAGAACTTTCATCCTACCTGTGGGGCATACCCGACTGGCTGTGGCGCATACCCGGCTGGCTGTGGCGCATACTGTGGCTGTGGGGGGTAGCCGGCCTGGGGTGGTGGGTACTGTTGCTGGCCATACCCAGGGTTACCAAAATTACTCTTGTCGCCGTAGGGGGGAGGTTGTGCCATCTGCAATAAATATTTTAATAAAATATCGCATTTTGAAGTTAGGGATAATTTGTAAACTTTTCATGAGATAAGCATGCATAGCTCTCTCAAAATGAGTTACCTTTCTGAGCAACTTAACGCCCTTACCGGGCACGAGTGACTCAGTGGTACAAGATCGTACAGAGTTACTTCCCTTAGCCGTGTCGATCCCGTTAGTCGCCTCTTACATGCATTGGTCAGAATTGGTCTTCAGCAAACCGTGCGATCCGTGAAGATCCGGGGTAGAATAGGTCTTCAGCAACCCATGCTTCCCGTGAAAGGCGACTATGCTTGTCGTATGAGGCGACAAATGGGATCGGGTGGTCAGGCTCGCTGACTTGGTTGATGCATGTCAGCGTATCCCAATAACGTGGATCGATGCTCATGATGTCAATCACTGGATTGTCTGGTCCAGACTCGATTATTTACAGACCGCCGTCATATATCTGGAATATTGCTGGGTGCGGCGTTAAACAACAAACAACAACCATGCTTGTCGTAAGATGGGACTAACGGGATCGAGTGGTCAGGCTCGCTGACTCTGTTGATCACATCATCCCAATGGCGTAGATCGATGCTCATGACGTCAGTCACTGGAATGTTTGGTCAAGACTCGATTATTTACAACCGCCGTCAGAGAGCAGGAATATTGCTGAGTACGACGTTAAACAACAAACATGCAAACAAGGCCAAGAATTTGATAAAGACTATAGTCTAAGGTTAAAGGTTCTGATGGTATGAACTATCACTACGCTGCACGCTAAAGCTGTTGCGACAAAACTGTCACGGCTTGAGCTTATCGTTATCTGTAACTGGGCACTAGTAACACGGGCCAAATTGACTGGCAACCTTTGTCCTTGTCAATCAGTCTGCCACAAAATAATTATTTGGTGTGTTTTTTCATTTGAAAACAAAATCAACAACACAATTGAAAAATTGATAGACGTTCTTAATCATATTTTTTAAATGTATGATAAAATAATATTTTATCAAGGCCTTACCACTCAGATCAGATAAAACACGCCCAAGTCAATCAAACTATGGGTCGTACAACGCCTTCAGAAATAGCATGAGCAAATCTATTTATTTTTAATGTGCTCCAACGCGTGTTTGTTTGTTTGTTTGTTTGTTGTTTAACGCCGCACTCAGCAATATTCCAGCTATATGACGGCGGTCTGTAAAATAATCGAGTCTGGACCAGACAATCCAGTGATTGACAGCATGAGCATCGATCCACACAATTGGGATCGATGACATGCATCAACCAATTCAGAGAGCCTGACCACCCGATCCCGTTAGTCGCCTCTTACGACAAGCATTCCAACGCGTGTAAACAAGGCTGGAACGTTCGTTCGAGATAAACTATTCTGTCTTTCTCTAAAGGACAACTACATTTTGCGCACATAAATATTAAAAATCCCTGATTACATGTGGCAATTTATATATGTTAGTTAATTTCGTTAGAAAAAAACGTTAATTGCAAGTTTTTCTCAGAATATATCTTTCGGGGGGAAAAACAGACCCAACACCAATCCCAAGGGGGTTAAATGTAGATCTCAGTAGACGCGAAACAAAAACGAAAATGGAATTCTCGTGTCTTTACTAATGAATAGCTTGCTTGTTTCCGAACGTTAAGTATATAATACTTCAGCAGATAGCGAACTCCTTGTACAAATAAAATAATAACGATCTTAACTTCAAGGAAAACTATCGACCATTCAACGCCTTGAGCAATAGCATAAGCAAATCTACTGTTTTCCCTTATGACACATAACCGCGACTACTCCTGTTTTAACGACAATGGTTTTAATCCAGCACAATAAAAGCATCGTAATTATCATTTTCTGAACACAGCGCACGAACACAACAAATTGACTACGGCCTTGATTTTCTCTTTTTCAATAAAGTACCTACCTTTACAGTCCCGGAGTAATGTGTGTCTGGACTATAAAACCAGGGTATATGATATCGTGTAGGTATAGGGTATATCGCAATGTGGTGGTGTTGTGTTGTAATATAAGCTGGGAGTATCTTCGACTTTAAACCCGGTCCCGTGTGATTGTGACATGCAGGTTCGTGTGATAAACAGCTACACTGGATCGTCACGAGCTCGGTATCATAACTTGGAGATATTGTTGCGGGTCAGGATGTAGCAAGTTAGTAATACTTGAAGGAGGCTCCGTATTAACCAGAAAATATATTTCTGAAATTGCAAATTGTCCAAACCGGATTGACTTAGGGGCCGACCATGAAGTATATTTTTTTAACAAGCCTTGCAACCATATTTTTTAATATTTCTTGAGGCAGATGTTGAAGATGACTGAGAGGTGTGTGTGTGTGTGTGTGTGTGTGTGTGTGTGTGTGTGTGTGTGTGTGTGCGCGTGTGTTTGTGCGTGTGTGTGTGTGTGTGTGTGTGTGTGTGTGTGTGTGTGCGCGCGCGCGCGCGCGTATGTGTGTGTGTGTGCGTGCGTGTGCGTGTGTGTGTGTGTGTGTGTGTGTGTCTCAAGAGTAACTAAATGTAAACAATTAACCAACCGAACTTTATGTTGTCAAAGATACGTACAACGACGTTGGAACGCCAGATGTGTGTCAAAGGGGCGGATAGCGTTGTGTTGCGCGTGGTGATTACCAGTGATAACCCTGGAGGCACAATAAGTGAGTCACATCAGCGTTACTGGGGTGGGGTGCTGGTTGAGGGATGGGGTAGGGTGTCTGTGTGTCTGTTAGAAAATCGGTTTTCGTTCTGCCTTTCTTACAGTGCATGACTCATCCGATGTTGTTAGACAGAGAACTTCAACTTTATGTCGTTACCCATTTAATATTGTGTAATCGGTATGTGTTTGACTGACACCGCCTCCTGGTGTGATTCATACGCCGTACACATGTTCTGAAATCTACAGCTGATACCCTGGACGTATCTCTACTCTTCCAGACAACACAAAGTCAAAAAAATAAATGTTTCACGGGCTTTAACCAGTGTTCGAAATACCTGCCTGCCCGACCGTCCGAGACGGGTTGATTTCAACTCGGGCTGCCAGATTTTCAAATCCCCCTGCCCGACGGTCGGGTTATATTTCATATGTAAAAATATTCTAAATATTTCCCGATGATAAGCATTATTTACATGATGTATTCTAGCATATTAAATACAAATCTGACCTAAAAAGTGTTTGCTATTTCTTTTCTTGCATTACTTCATGTTCAATGAATTCGATTTAAAGTTTTAATTAAATTATCCTGAGAAACATAGGATTACAGTGGGCAGGCAGGTTTTGGTCAGGGCTGGCAAGTATTTCAGCTAGCCAGTCCTGTGGTCTGGCTGAAAAGTTTGGGAGTTTCATACCCTGCTTTAACGAGTCACTATAAATCCTGCTCGTCATAATTATTGTCAAAAACAAAATACAAATCAAATTTTCGCGCTTCATATAAAGCAGACTCGGTTATCCATGAAATGAACACAAATATTTTCATAAATTATTTATCATTTATCCATAAATTAAGTCTACTTTAAACATTTTCAGATTGTATAAAAAGAATTGTCCAATTGTTTCTTGGTATTTTGGGTGAAACATATAAATACAGAGTTCCTCCCTCATCGTTTTGTTTTCAATAAAAATATATATAAAGTTCTAGCTCTCTCGAAAATGATGAGAAAAATGTGTCGGAGAAACGCTTATTTATCTACGTAGCCTTACACTTCGTTATACACTGTTGTGTTGAAATCAGAAAGAGATGTTATGGGTTAAGCAAAGTGACTTCGCTTATAGCGTGTCTTTACACGCACACCCGTGAGGTGTCTGGGGCAGAACATAGATCCCAGCAACCTCTGCTTGTCGTAAGACCGAACTAAGGAACCGACCATTGGATACGGGCTTTTATCGAAAAAACATGTATTGTCCCCGAAATTGCTTGAAAAAAATAACTATGCTTAAAAAATTACATTGTTTTGATGTGTTTTTCTTTCAAACATTCATGCTCATGATATTGGATTTTATCGAAAAAATATATTGTCCCCGAAATTTGTTGAAAAAAATAATTATGGTTCAAAAATTACATTGTTTACAGGTGTTTCTCTTTAATAAATTCAGGCTCATGATATGGGATTTTATCGAAAATAATATATTGTCCCGGGAATTTCTTTACAAAATAAATAATTATGCTTAAAAAATTACGTTGTTTTCAGGTGTTTTACTTAAAAAGATTCAGGCTCATAGGTTAAAAAAAAAAATCTGGGTTTTGGGGTTGTTGTTTTTTAGCTTTTCTTATACCAGGCGTGGTGACTCGGTTGATTGTAAGTCGTCCTATCCCAATTGTCATTGCCTGGATCAGTGCTCATAGTGTCAATCACTGGACGCAGGTGTATTGCTTAGTGCCGAGTTAAACAACAAACAAACAATCAAACAACGGACAATCTCTGACCCACTCAGACCTGTCAGAATATTCACTGATCGGTCCCTTCACTGATATAGAAATGCACCCGGGTTGGCTGTGCTAATAGAACGGCCGGATGTCAGGGGAGGCGGTGTGGAGCTCCAGGAATGAGGATAGCCCCAGGCATAGCTGCTTAAATAACATCCTTATCAGACCCCGGTGATGAGTGCAGGATGTGCATATGCTCAACTGTTTATCTGTGAAAGGATTTTAGTTCAGGGCCCCGTTACACAAATCGATCTTAGCGCTAAGGCGGTCTTAACTCCCATATTCTAAATTGTGCTTACAACAATCGGAGCGCTAAAATCGCTTTAAAAAAAGAGTCCTAGACTTTTTGAAATACTATACATGTATTTGTTGCTACATCACCCCGCACCTCCTATTTGTTTTTAGCACTGTTGAACTATTTTGGGCTTTGGGGTAGCTTAGTGGTTAAAGCGCTCGTCACGCCGAAGACCCGGGTTCGATTCCCAACATGGGTACAAAGTGTGAAGCCCATTTTTGGTGTCCCCCGCTGTGGTATTGCCGGATTATTGCTAAATGTGGCGTAGAATCATACTCACTCACTAAAAAAAACTATTTCACTGGCTTGGTAATACCTAATTATCGGGTGTAAGAATCTTGATTATAGCTTGGAATTGGCTATGTGTGACTTGGTAATAGCTGACAAAAGGCTATGTGTGATATTGTATTATCTGTCCACTGGCTATGTGTGACTTGGTAATAGCTGACAAATGGCTATGTCTGATATTGTATGATCTGTCCACTGGCTATGGAGGACTTGGTAATAGCTGACAAATGGCTATGTCTGATATTGTATTATCTCTCCACTGGCTATGGAGGATGGGTAATAGCTGACAAATGGCTATGTGTGATATTGTATTATCTGTCCACTGGCTATGGAGGACTTGGTAATAGCTGCGCATTGGCTGTGTGACACTTTGATACATCCGTTGATTAGTTCTGCAATGAATGAGATCTGGAGGGACTGGGCGGATATGTACGAGGAGTAGATGCGTATGATCATTGTGTCGTGGAAACCCACGTGACCTTCACTGACACCACGTGCCGAACAACCACGTCCCGACACACGGGATTCAACCTCACTGTGGGATGTGACAGTACCATTCCATGTCCCGACACAGGGGATTCAACCTCACTGTGGGATGTGACAGTACTACACCATATCCCGACACACGGGATTCAACCTCACTGTGGGATGTGACAGTACTACACTATGTCCCGACACACGGGATTCAACCTCACTGTGGGATGTGACAGTACTACACCATATCCCGACACACGGGATTCAACCTCACTGTGGGATGTGACGGTACTACACCATGTCCCGACACACGGGATTCAACCTCACTGTGGGATGTGACAGTACTACACCATGTCCCGACACACGGGATTCAACCTCACTGTGGGATGTGACAGTACTACACCATGTCCCGACACACGGGATTCAACCTCACTGTGGGATGTGACAGTACTACACCATGTCCCGACACACGGGATTCAACCTCACTGTGGGATGTGACGGTCACGGTACTACACTCTGTCCCGACACACGGGATTCAACCTCACTGTGGAATGTGACGGTCACGGTACTACACCATGTCCCGACACACGGGATTCAACCTCACTGTGAGATGTGACAGTACTACACCATGTCCCGACACACGGGATTCAACCTCATTGTGGGATGTGACGGTACTACACAATGTCCCGACACACGGGATTCAACCTCACTGTGGGATGTGACAGCACTACACAATGTCCCGACACACGGGATTCAACCTCACTATGGGATGTGACAGTACTACACCATGTCCCGACACACGGGATTCAACCTCACTGTGGGATGTGACGGTACTACACCATGTCCCGACACACGGGATTCAACCTCACTGTGGGATGTGACGGTCACGGTACTACACTCTGTCCCGACACACGGGATTCAACCTCACTGTGGGATGTGACGGTACTACACCATGTCCCGACACACGGGATTCAACCTCATTGTGGGATGTGACGGTACTACACCATGTCCCGACACACGGGATTCAACCTCACTGTGGGATGTGACAGCACTACACAATGTCCCGACACACGGGATTCAACCTCACTATGGGATGTGACAGTACTACACCACGTCCCGACACACGGGATTCAACCTCACTGTGGGATGTGACGGTACTACACCATGTCCCGACACACGGGATTCAACCTCACTGTGGGATGTGACGGTCACGGTACTACACTCTGTCCCGACACACTGGATTCAACCTCACTGTGGGATGTGACAGTACTACACCATGTCCCGACACACGGGATTCAACCTCACTGTGGGATGTGACGGTCACGGTACTACACTCTGTCCCGACACACTGGATTCAACCTCACTGTGGGATGTGACAGTACTACACCATGTCCCGACACACGGGATTCAACCTCACTGTGGGATGTGACGGTCACGGTACTACACTCTGTCCCGACACACTGGATTCAACCTCACTGTGGGATGTGACAGTACTACACCATATCCCGACACACGGGATTCAACCTCACTGTGGGAGGTGACGGTCACAATACTACACCATGTCCCGACACACGGGATTCAACCTCACTGTGGGAG